CAGTGAGCTATGATCTTGCCACTGCACTCCAGCCTGGGCAACAGAGCAAGACCCTGTCTCAAAACAAACAAACAAAAATTCTATTTCCTTTCTGACTTTCAACTATGTCCATATAGGTGAAGCATTGACACAACCAAATTATCATGTGACCATCCAGCCGTATCCAGCCCCAATTCCATGAGTATACCCTTGCTTTCTCTCACCAGCCCCCCTGCTGATGAATTCCCTGGTCTCAGGATGCATCTCCAGCCTCAAGTGTCCTCCTGGAATTCAGCACCTGCCATGTTGGGGTGTCCACCAGCAGGCACTTTCCTCCAGCATAACTACCCTTCCACTTCACTGGGTACCAGTAACCCACAGACAAAACACCACCCCCAAACCCTGGTGGAAATACTCTTCTACTATTAATCTAGGTATAAGCAAAAACGAGCCAAATACAGAAAACTATTTCCAGCTCAGCCTGTCATCCACGCTCTATGCCCCTTCTCTATGCAAACTCACCACAGGTCCTGCTCTTGGCATTGGACGTTCTGTTTGCATCTCCTGCCCGCTGGACCTTCTACTCCTTGGAGTAGCCAGAGTCTTGCTGATAACCCTTTAATGTACTCCACACCCTGTTACTTCTCTAGGGCAGGTGTGTCTGTCTTTCAGCTCCACCCTTCACCGGTCAATAAGCAATTCCAAGTCCATACCGAGTGCTAACCCTCCTCCTATGCCTAAGGGGTGGTTATGCAAGCAGAAGACTGTATAGGTTTCCTGTCATGGTTGTAACAAATCGCCAAAACCTCAGTGCTTAACACAACTTCATTCTATTACACATGGGGAGGTTGGAAATCTGAATTCAGTTTCACTGGGCTAAACCAAGGTGTGGGCAGAGCTAGTTTCTTCTAGAGGCTCTGTGGGGATAATCTGCTCCTTTGCGTTTTCTCAGCCCCTAGTGGCCACCTGCACTCCCCGGCTCCTGGCCTCTTCCTCCAATCGCTCCAATCTCTGGCTTCCTCCTTTGAACCCCACCTCCTCTTATAAGGGTCCTTGTGATTACATTCAGGGTCTACCCAGATAACCCAGGATAATCTCTGCATCTCCAGATCCTTAACTCAGTCACATCCGCAAGTCTCCTTTGCCTTATAAGGTGACACTTACAGGTCCCGAGGGATTAGGATGTGAACATTTGGGGAGAACCATTATTCAGCCTACCGCAAGGATGCAGGGAAGCGCTAAGCTAAATTACACCAGGAGTTGCTGGGAACTGGATTTAGACTTCAGACAACAGAGAAATAACTCAGCAACAGCAAGAAACGCACCAGAGAAGGTGTGGAGGGACAAACAAACAAGGGCTAATCTGCCTGGAGAAAGCACGATTGCCAGGCACTTTGGAAGCTCTTCATGGCCACAGTGGTGTGACCAGAGTTGGCGGCTGAGACCAGAACATCCCTGGTAACCTGAAAAAGGGTCAGCAGCCCTGAGGGGAGGGGGTCAAGGGCCCTGTGTGGTCAATCTGCCAGGAGCTAGTGGGACCGACACTCTCACCCAAGACAAGAGTCGACTTGTGGCTGAGTCACAGTCTGGTGTGTAGGAGGCGCCTCTACCTCACAAATGCAGAGGCCTTTACTGTGTGCCCACACAAACCTCTGCCAGATTGAAAATGAAAAGCATGTCACAGATACACTGAAATTTAAAATCTCTAAGACTTTCGACTTCTGCAAAGGCAATCTGGCTTATTGTAAACCAACCCTTCCACCGAGAAAACTAGATACACTGGACAAATTTTTTTTTTGGAAAATTTCTTAGAAAGCATCTGAGATCACCAAAGCAGGGGTATATGAAAAAATTAATATATCACTAAAAGTTGGGTTTGTACCAGGAATGCAAGGTTGGTTTAACGTATGAAAATCAATGTAACAAAAATGAAGG